TATAATTTATTATAAAAAGCAATCAATTTTTTCTAAATGTAAATATAAAAGCAAATAGGTATATTTTAGTAGCTTTATGCATGTTCATTAGGACGAATTCCATTTCTTGTATATACATGTGTTTCTAACCTAATTTCCATGTCAAAAAATGTAACACAAAGTGGATCGTTTTAAGTGGGTCGTTTTAAAACATCGAAATCGAAAATTTCTATACTATTTTAAAATCTGGGCCGTAGTTTGTCCACCGTTGACCTAATAGACCCGCTAAAGACTCGGCGAGTCGTCGGGGACGAATTGCGCGCGAAAAACTTGGCAATCGCCTCGTCTCTGAACCGAAGTCGCGTGACCGTGACCACTCGCCGAGCGATCCCGAAAGCGAAACAGACGAAAAAGCAACGGAAAATAACACCTGAAAATGAAATCTCCGTTTCTTACGCGAGCCGTTCCCGGTTCTACGACAATCAGAATGCACCGTTGTGCACCGCGACGAAGTAAGAAACGCTCTCCAAACGAGGAAGAAGAAAAATAGTTGTACCGGGCGTCGCACACTGACACAGTGCTGCAAGGGTCCGCAAATAAATTGTACCTCCTCTGCTTCCCGAACCTCCGTCGTCCATTACCCTCTCTCTCTCTCTCTCTCTCCAGTGCTCTCCACGTTGAAATAAAGAACGCCCGTAAGAGTCTGCCTCAGTGACGAGGTCTTTTGTCCCTCTTCTCTGTTAACTCTCTCGCTACATCGTAGCACTGCTCTCTCTTTGTCTCCGTGAAACGTTCCTCCTTCTTCTCCGCGCCTCCTCCTTCTCGCTCGCAGACTTTTGCTCGCCACTTCTTCTTCCTCTCTCTCTCCCTCCGACCCGTTAAAATAGACAAGCCTTCTTTCCCAGCCAAAGTCACAGATATTACCGGGCCGATTCTGCAGCGGACGGTCCACGAGCCGACAACAGTTCACCTCCGATTCGCGGGCAAGTTGCCGGCGAGTGGCGCACGTCAGGCCAGACCTGTTTGGAACCTGATCCCTGTGGACCAGATTTACGCTCGGTGGTCACACGTAGACGAGTGGCGGTCGCGCGTTTAGACGTCGTTTTGCCGCGGGGCGAGATCTTCCGCGATCGTCCGACACGGTGGAGCTTCGCGGCCCGCTGGCTCTCGATCGACCGTTCGGCTGACATCGATCCGTGCACGCGTTACATTCGACCAACCGATTTTTCGCGAACGTCTCGTGTGTCGATTCAGATTTTAGAGATCGGTAGTGGACGATCGGTGGTTCGATTCCCTGCGACCGGAGACCCAAGTTTCGATACATAAAATAGCTCGATAGTGTTTGGATACGAATGTATGATACTTTTAAAAATCGGTATTAGACGATCGTGCACCGTGTGTGAGATCTAAATTTCTCGAGGAAAGTTTCTACCCTGGCACAGAAAGTGATTTATCGCGTGGAATCGGTTTCTAAATGTTTTGAAAGCAGACTCAGAGATTGATGATACTTTTGAATAATTGATAAATCTACCTTGAGATTGGCAGTAATTTATTGATTCCAATTTAGCGTGATCGTGCACTATGGGAACCTAAGTTGCGAAGTGGACGCTCGAATAAGCTCGATGGCCGGTGTTTTGAAACGTTACGAATGGTGATACTTTTGAATAATAGATCGAACAAGTTTCGGTGATCGATGGTTTCGTTTTCTGCCATTGTGCACCGTGAGAACAAAGTTTCTTCCCGAGGAAAGTTTCCAACGCGATACAGAGTGTAATTCGTTGCGCGAAATCGATCTCGAAGTGGATGCAAGGTGCTAGATAGTGTTTTGAAACGATTGGTGATACTTTTGAATAATAGTTGATGGGATTGTGGACGTTCGCGCGGTACCAATTGATCCGATCGAGGGATACCGTTAATGATCGACTCACGCGCTCGTGATGGGCGTATTTGAGACTGGCGGAGTTTGTAATTGATCATTGAATGAAATCTGATAAATGAACGTGTCGTGGGATTTCAGTGACACGCGATATACTTTGGTTACAGCGTTGTGCTTTCTTAAGGGAATCCACAAACCAAAGAAGTGTACAAAGAATTATTTTATATACTTTCTCAAGATTGAAATAAACGATTTTAATGAAATTTTTTATGATAATTATATTTGGAAAGGGAAAATATCATCTATGTAATTTATTTTGCATCTATTAATGAGTGTAAAAAGAATCGTTTTTATTTTACCTATTTTCTCAGGACTAAAATAAATAATTTAAGTAAACATTTTTTTGGTAATTTCTGAGTAGTTATAAAATGGATGAATTTGGAAAATAATACCTATATTTAAAGAAAGAAAACAACAACAATTTATTTTGCACTATTAATAAGAAGTGTAAAAAGAATTATTTTATTTATTTTCTCAGGATTAAAATAAACTATTTTAATGAAATTTTTTGTAATAATTATATTTGGAAAGAGAAAATATCATCTATGTAATTTATTTTGCATCTATTAATGAGTGTAAAAAGAATCGTTTTCATTTTACTTATTTTCTCAGGATTAAAATAAATAATTTAAGTAAACATTTTAGTGGTAACTTCTGAATAGTTATAAAATGAATGAATTTGGAAAATAATACCTAGATTTAAAGAGAGAAAATGCACTATTAATAAGAAATGTAAAAAAAATTATTTTATTTATTTTCCCAGGATTAAAATAATCAATTTAAATTAAATTTTGTGCGTTAATTTCTGAGAAGTTATGAAATATATTAAAAGGAATTTGATAAATATTGCCTATATTGATATAGTGCTTCGAGGACAATTTGATTGAAATCGCTTCAGTGCCTTAGGAGAAAATAGGTCATGACGTTCGACAATGTTGGGTATGGATAAAGCTCGGTTGTGGATTCCCTTAAGTAAATAGGGAAACTCGTATATAGGGTGGAGGTGTAATTTCTAGCATGACTCCTTGTGCAGAAATAACTCGAAGGCGAAGAACAAAATTTATGCAGTGTTCCGTTTTCGAGAAATCAGAGTTCGAACGTTCATCTTGACCAATGATCTTTTTCTACAATAAATTATTTTACTTTGTATTTGAAAATGTCGTGGCTTAATATATTCTCCAGCAGTCTTACCACGTTATTTGATTCTCGGTTATCATCAAAGCACTTCGGCGCAATTGAATATTACAGAGAACGATTTCTCAATCGTCTGGATTGGCGGGTGTCGTGAACAGTAGACGTTATTATTATAGAATGGACATTAATGGCTGGAACAAAACATAATAAAACGTTTTGTTTAAATCATTCGAGTCGATTTACGTCTCTTTAATTCGCCCAAAACGTTATGTACGACCAATAACAAAGTCACGAATTTTTATATCCCGATCTTAATATCGAAACTCTGTCGTGTAAGACAGAGACAAGTAGATATAATTAGTTACAAGGGGGAAAAAACATGTTTGCCAAGATCTAATCGAGCTTGAATTTACGACCTCGATTTTCTCGAAAACAAGGTTTTATAAAAGTTGCTGCAAGAATGCTACTGAAGAAGCTTCTTGCGATAAAACGTTCGCAGCGACATTGTTTTTAAACAGAATTTAAAATCCGTATCAGTACTTTCCATATAATACGAAGAATCATTGTAATACCGTTCAATCATTATTTCGAAAATTACATTAACCTGTTTCATAAATTACGTTGCTATATATTAAAATAAATTTAAGAATTTCTTCATATTAATTCTTGTACAAGATGAAAACGACTTTGGTTCGTAAATTCGCCAAAAATGTTTTAAGAATATTTTTCAAACTCGTATCGTGTATTAAGTAAGTTTTAGACGAAACGAAATGAAATTTGAAAATCTGGATGACAGTCATATTTTGCTCCATAGTTTTAAATATACATCCCTACGGTGGGAATGAAACGGTCAGAGCGCGAAATTGTCATTTGGATACACACACACACACGCGCGGGCAAATTGAAAACTTTGGACGCGTTCGCGCAAACAAAGTCCAGATTAAACGGTATCGCGAAACCGGCGCAATATCGACTTGTCAAACGCACTTTTGCTCGAGACTCTGGCGTCTCCGGTTTCGTTGCTTCTGGTCGATCGTATTTTTCCACAAAGCTGAGATTAAAAGATCCCCGCGATGCTCTTAACGACCCAGATCGTAACGCGGCGATCTGGAGCGAACGGAACATAGACGCAATAAACGATCAAGGCCCGATCAGTTAACGGAATAGAACGCTCGCAAAAAGTTCTCGTCGCGATCCGTGACTTTTCCTTATCGGTTAATTTCGCGAAATTCCGTGTTTATCTTGCATTTTCGAGCGTCGAAATTCTATGGACGAGAACGAAAAAAACCGAAACTGTTGGTACCAATTCTCGTTTATGAAGCGTAGCCGTGATATTTACGAGTATTTCACTCGGAAACGCCGAGTACAGACAATACAAAAGCGGAATGTTTGATTACCAGTCGCGTTTATTAAATATTTTGTCATCCCCAGACCGTGCTGTTTAATTACGCGGCACGGTATCTCGCGATGCATTTTTCCCCCTTTTTTTTTATTCGATACTTGTTCCCCCCGCTGTATCCAGCGATGTTTTGATATTAATATCTGTACGGTGCCACGGTATCGTAATTACTTTCGTTGCGAAGCTTTTGATGGTATCAAAAAAAAAAAAAAATAAACAACAAAGAACCGAGCAAAAAGGAGAGAGAACAAAAACAGACAAACGCAGACAGTGATAAAATTTTACACTCGGCGCGTCCAATTTATTTTCGGAGATGAAGTCGTACGTCGCGTCGCGATTCATTTCCACGCGTTAATGTTGAACGGGGATCGTCCATCGCGGATGATTCGACGATGAAAAACCTTCCGTCGGTCGCCATCTTGATTCGACGAAGTGGACTCAAGAAAGTTGGCTAAAAAAAAAAGAAAAAATTAATTCATCGTGTATAAATCACAAAATTACGAAAGATTGTTTATTTGAACTTGAAATTCTTCAAAAGATAGATTAAAAAATTGTTATCAAAGATAGCGACGATCGATCATCACAATCGTGAAAAACAGAAACGCTTTGTTTGTTTTATCATTTGTTTATTACGTTCATAGAGAAAGCTACTAGTTCAGATTTACGTAAATATCTAACAATATTGTAATTTATAAATACAGTATCGTGATTTATTTTGGTCAGTCATTGTGTACAGCGCCAGGCTCGCGAAACCAAAACGTACGGGCGCGGAACAAGGCCCATAATTCAATATTGCGTATCGAACATATACACGCGTCAATCACTTTTGAAAATAAATGTAACTGTATATCCGTACAACGATAGGATTGAAATAATAGAACGCGAGACCAAAACGTACAGCTTCAAACAAATGCGTACCGTGGAACTGTAGGAATTGCCTTTGAATGGAATTTCGAGTGGCGATCAGAACTTTTCAAAATGGTCGTTTCACCGTCAATATATCCACGTAAACTAATTGCTCGTCAAATTTAAAATAAATATCATACCGTGCGTAGCTTGTTTATTTAATAAACGTTTCCGTCCTTAATTTAAACCGTTTTGAATACATCAATTTTGTTTGCTAGCGTTTGAAAATGTAGAGATATACCAATACATAAATTCAACAGCGAGACGCGATCCAATAAATGAGAATAGACTTTTTTTTAAATATTTACATTTTTTTTTTACTGTTCATTTTATCGCTTCCATTAATTTTTTTTTTGAATTTATTATCGATCGTCGGTACCCTCGACTGTAAAATTTATTCGTTCGAATATACGACCCATAATATAACGTATGGGTCCTTGCAGTACGCGTGAAATACATACCGTGAATCTACGACGATAATTTTAAAAGAGTTAAATCGGCGGGCAGTCCATCGAACTCCGAAAATAACGAAAGCGCCTCGGGCGCGACAGGAAGCTGAGCGTAACTGGGTCGCAAGTTCATCAGTGCTAATTATTATTAATCAGGAAATCTCGACAGGGTACAAAATTCCTGTGGATTTGCATGATTACGAAGTGCACTAAATAACTAGAACGAGGCGTCGTGGAAATTACAGCTGGGGATAGAATTTGATAATAACAATTTGATCCTTCGTAGGAAATTACTATAGGAGGATCTATCGATCGATGTAATTGTTGAAAGAGGACCGTAACAAAATTGGGGGTGGAAACGTTTAAAATTGTATTTTCCATCAAGCAACGAAGATATTAATTTCTTCATCTGTTGGCCTTCTTCAGAAATGATGAATTATTAGATATTTATAGTGTTTGTATAATTTATACCGTCGTTAGTGATTTGTGAAGGTCGGTAATCTTGGCAGAAACGTCGAAGAAACAAGGAACGCGGTCGTTTTACATTCGATTAGCAAAAAAGCAATACTCGTTCCCGACCTTCCGTAATTTTGAAAATTTCGCGCAGGCTGACGCGGCCATTTGATTTATGGATAATTCGAGTTACACAAGTTGCAGAATATGTACGCTATGAATATCAATCTTTGTCATCGAAGTAACCATGACGCAGATGGTATAAATGGCCGATTCATATTCTCGAGGTCGCGTGTTCCGAGTCCGGTTCACCGAATATTTTTTTTTTAATCGATTTTTTTTGCAACCGTAACAGCGATACATATGATATCGAATCGTAGTTGGCATAGTCAGCATCACAGACTATATTTACATGACCTATCGTTTCTTTCTTTAAAAAACAGAGAAATAAATTCGATTTAACAAACGTTGAATTCCTATTTAGGATTTCTAAGGGTGGGAGTCTCGAATCTCCTTTCCTTCGAATTCTAGATTTGTCACTGCATATTTACTCAGTATTGGTGGCAAAAATGGTAAAAATAATTTGTGTTATCACGTTAAATTCCTATTGTTTTCAATAATTTACACTTATTTATGGGAAATTTTGATTCTCAACAAACTACAGAATGCACTTAACATGCAAAAATATAAGAAATAAAATAAAATTCGATTTATTATATTTAGCAGATGAGACAACCCTCTACAAAGCTTCATTTGGTCAATTCTATTAATAAAAATACGATATTTGCATAAAAATCCACACTAGCATCGTATAAACATTTGTTCGAACACCACCAGTGTTAAAATCGTGGGAGGGATCGAAATCGAGGTTTACCTCGCCGGCAGCCATGATTGCCCGGTATTCGTAGTGTCGCTACACTCTTATTTTATCGGGTACCGAACCACGTTTCATTACTTCGTCAAAGGAACCAACTAGCGGCCAAGTGTATATAAATATTACCAGAAAACTCGATAATTTTGTGAGAGCAAGCAAGCCAGAAAAACGGAGGGTGCTTGTGTTCAAGCCAGCGTGGAACGAGTTACACGATTGACCTCCTGGTCTCGTATCGAATTATACACATCGTTCTGAAAGTAGTAAAAGCAACGTGGAACCGCGGTAGGTGGTCGAAGGAGCGGTGGTCGACTTTTCGCTCCAGTAATCGTCGATCGTTTGTCGTACGAACCGATGGACCTTCAAGAATCCCGATGTTTCTTCGTCCTACGTGGACGATGCATTTTTATAAACGAACGGCCTCTTTGAATTGCATCGCGGTACGGTTCACCCCCTTTTATCGAATTCTTTTCGAGTATGTTATTGGATTCCTTTGTCCCTTGAAACGGTCGCAGTTTGCGCGAAATATTTGACGCTCCTTCGAACCCCCAAGCAATCTTAACTTCCTCTTAACAGAGCAACAACGGGACATTTTTAATTAAAATAAGCTTTTAAATTAACTACTGTGACGTATTCAACTGTCAGAAAAACACTAATAATGTAATGCACCAGTGTCATAAATAATACAGTTATCGGAAACATTAATTCCCGTTGGTAATGTGTTAACTGGAATTCAAATTGATAATCATAATACACCTGATGGAAGTATTCGATGGTTCAAAATCGTTAATATTATTTAAAAATTTATTAGTATTAGAGTTCGTTCGTCTGAAACTGTTGCAACTATCGCTTTGATACATTTATTACCGATTCGTTGGAAAATATTTCAAACAATTCTGTGTTCGAATTGCAAAATTTTGAGAAGCAGACTCGCGCTAATAGCGAGAAAAATTGCACAAGTATGGCGTTTCTCGGGGTCAGCCCCGGTTACGGGCTTACGGAATACTTGAAAGTATTAATTGCTATAGTTGCATAGAAGACACGGAAGCGGTAGAAATCGTGACGACACGTCCGTCGACGTTAAAATAGACATCCTGGAAGCCGGCTGAGCCTCGATACTCTGCTATAGTGCTCGAGGCCGCTAAATGTATCATCGCAGGTATATTTAGCCGCTACTGTCATCAGCCACATTTGATCGAAATATTTCAGATTTTATAAACGACTTTCGTTTAAAAAAAAGAAATTTTTCTTTGACACAGCGCGAATCTTACGCGAAAAATTCGTGTCACTGTTTGCACGATTTTCGAAATTCTCTTGTTTCTTGTACGTTACGCCTGGAGGACAGATTTTACAATTAATCATCGTGCAAATTACTCCAAAGCAATCTTTCATCATTTCAACAGACACTACATCATAATTATATCGTGTACCATTAATTATACGCAAAACCAGTTCGCCGGGGCTGGGAATTAAAGTTCAGCAAATAGTGTACTGTCAATCAGCGTTATCTGTTTACCGCGCGAACTGGTAACTCGCTAAATATAATGTCTATGAGATCATGTGCGGTTACATGTGTCCTATAGCGGGCTCGAGAAACGCTTTACGTTTCTCGATAGTGGCGAACGTGATAGCCTTGGCGTCGCGCGATATCGGATAGTGTTTCTGAAAAAAAGATTAAGTGTGAACGTTCCACATTTTCTCTGTTTGAGTGCAGTTAATCGACCGTGGAAGTAATTATTCGTCATCCAACGTCGTCATTAGCCGGCTATATTACGGAATTCGAAAGTTCCCCAAGAATTACGCGCCGCACGAAATAATTATGAATAATTACGACTAGTATCCGAGCCTGGGAAACGAACCAAATATCTATAATTTAATTTCTGCTTCAAATGTGTGTTCAACCTCCTGACGTAGAGATTTTTTGCAATATTAAGCCTCTAATAGCACGGTGGGTGTAAACGAAACCGGTTCGAAAAATGAATAATTTCTTGTTATCTTATCTAATACCTCTCTTTGAGTCACTTCTAAAGTTCTTCTATGCATACATGCGTCTTGCAATATAAAATTGTATTATTCATTGAGTTACTAAATAATTATTTTGGGCGATGTACGTTTCGAAGAACTTGTGATCCAATCGTATGCGTGTGTGTGTGTATAGAGATGAATCAATAATGTAAGTGAAAATAACAGGCTACGGAAGAATCGCTAGGAATCGATTACCGATCCGACCGCGCGATCCGTTCGGGTGACAGTGAAAAGAGGCGATCGAACTGGAGGAATCGCGGGGGATGATGGATACGAACGAGTTAAATTCAATCGGGGATCTGTGCACGGAGGATCGATCGTTGCTGGTCGTGATACGATCGTAAGATGCCGCAGTACGACGACAGTTTCCTCGACTCGCCGATTTTTCGGCGACGCACGCGTAGCTACGCGGTGCAGAAAGAGTTCGTGCCGAAGTCGAAAAGCTTTATCACGGCCACACCTTTGCTGCTAGCCGTGACCAATCACGCCAGGACTCTTTCCGGTTCCATATCGACCTGCAGCTTGAAAGGTAATTGGAGTAAAAATTCAGGTTAAGGGCATGAGTCTGTGTTATGCTTCGTTAAATAGGTTAAAAGGTCTCTCTGCGTCGAGAGGGGACTTGGGGCTTTGTGGATTTCTTGATTGCGCTGAAATTCCGTCGTGATTTCTAGTAGACGCCCTCTGGGACAGGACGTATTCGCGAACAATCTATGTACTTTTAGAACGTTCTCGATCGTCCGATCGAGAAGTGATACGGATTAAAATAGGAGTGTGAAAATTAGTGGTCTTCTTGTATTTAAAAAATATAATGCAATTTTCGGTTGCAGGGATCAATTACAGTAATTTTTGATGAATAGACATACCCTCGAAATCCTAACCATTTTCGAAAAAAAAATTCGGGTAGGTGCTGAAATTTTTCTGCGAAAGAAAATTTTTCAAATCTTTCTAAAAAAATTATTTTCGGTTGCAGGGGTCGATTACAATAATTTTTGGTGAATAAACATACCCTCAAAATCCTAACCATTTTCGAGAATAAAATTCATTAGCTATTGAAATTTTTAGGTGAAAAAAAAATTTCAAATCGTTTAAAAAAAATTATTTTTAGCTAGGAGGGTTAATTACAATCATTTTTGGTCAATAGACATACCCCCGAAATCCTACTCATTATCGAGAAAAAAATTCCTTACCGAAAATCGACAAGGGGTAGGTGCCTAAATTTTTTGGCGAAAAAAATTTTTCATATCGTTCTGACAAAATTATTTTCGGTTCTGGGGGTCAATTACAATCATTTTTGGTTGATACACATACGTTCGAAATCCTATGCATTTTCGAGAAAAAAATTCACGAGTTGGTATTTTTTATTTTCGTCCTATTTTGGTCTCTAGAATCTCCCCCTTCTACTTTTCTCTCCTCTTGCTCCATAATAGTTATAAAATATGTGAAACATATTACACCGTTTGAATTTAATATCTTCGTTTTCTATCTGCAACCATTTCGAGGATACCCCATCCCAGTAAAGCTTCACAAATTACCAACCAGATGAATTGCATACCGGTATAAATTCTGATCGTAAACGCGAACGAACCAAAGATTCCAAGTCGAATTGTACCAAGTGAAACGCAGTCGACAAGAGGATTAATATTCGGTGCAGGGGTAATATTCTCAGCCGAATCGAGTGTCGCGTGCACGCCTCCGCCCTAAACGCCGGTATCACAGCATTTCCAAAATATCTGTTAGAGTAATCAAACTTAGGATAACGGCGTTATAGAAGCAACTCTGGTCGCGCTAAATATCTCCCCCCGCCTCTCTCTCTCTCTCTCCCGTCTTGCGACTCGTACGCACTGCACGTGAAAGCGTCTCGGTTGTTAATTACCCATTCGCGCTGTCAATCATATTAAGCACCAAGCTCACGTCGGCACTACCTCGAGCTATTAACACCTCCCAGTTACTACAACGTGCACCACACTGTCATCCCCGTCGCCTGGCGCATAACGCATACACAAGCCGGTGATTTCCCTCTGGGCGACCAGCGTGGCGCAAATTGCTGTGTTCTCCGGCTCTACGGGTCCCGTTTCTATTCCGCGATTGAAGCGTCCCGGGGAACGTGATCTTCATCTCGGATCAAAATGACCGAGATCGTACGGACGCGCGGGCGGCAAACGTGTGCTTCCAGCGATTAGTCTTTGACCCAGAGAGACCGGAAGCGAAAGAATACTGTGTGTTAACCCTTGGCGGGAACAATGGGAAGTCGTTAGACTGCGTGTCGACGGGTCTTTGGGTGACTTCAAACGTTCTAAGAGTTGAAGATGGTCGTTAGGGATGGAAGGAAGCGGAACGCAGGGGGACGAGTCTCCATCTTGTTTGAGGGAGAGTTTTTTATTTTTCATTCATTTTGTAGTCTATTTTCAATATCGTGTTTGAAGTATATACTTTTCACTATTAATGATCACGATTATATTTATGTAAGTAGGAAGCATGATTTTGAAAAAATTCATTTTCCAGTGCGTGGTATTTATAGTGGAATAAATTGTTACGACTTTATTTTTTAAATTAAATATTTTGTGATTGCTACAAGCTACATACAAAATAAAGATATGTAACAAGTTATTTATTATTTACTTCTACATTTACTCATAAAATTAATTCAGACTTTTAACTTGTCTTATTGAAAATGTAATTTATATAACTTCATTAGCTACTGCTACAAGTACTTCCATATATGTAGATGTCTTTCTCAAATAATTTCAAACCATATTTCTGTAAAATATTATATTACAGTTACCAATATATTGCATAAATAAGTTATTGAATAAATCAGATGATAGAATATATCTTTCTGCTTATGTGACAATCTGCCTGCTTAGGATATTTTCAATTAATTATTACGTATTTACAACTACAGAAAATGTTAATTCAAGTATGATAATTTTAGTTTGCATTAATCGTTTTCACTTCAAGCTGATATATCAAATAGAAAAATTTTTAAATGTTTTATAACAACTTACCCCACTCTCCTACCGATAGTCGATGAATTAAGTAACTTTGAATTTTAAGGATGAGAATGTTTTAGGAAATTCAACAATTATAGGAATGTTAAATTATCTCAGACATTTAGCGTTATCTATTTCATCATTTCTGACTACTTATAAATTATATTTTATTTATTTGTGTAAAACCGATATTTCTACAATAGCATTATTAAATTAAGGAGTCTATTTAAATTGCAAACGTAATTGCCAGTCAACGAGAGTGAAAGATCGAGCAATTTGCAACGCAAAATTTGTATCTTCGAGGGCGTCGTGCACGTCTTAGCGCAGAACTGGCTGCGTTGCATCGTTTTTCTGACGCTTGCACGGTCGGAAATAAAATTTATATTCATAAACGATCCTTTCGGTTCGTCGATCTCTCTTCAGTTTTTCGTCGTGATTTGAAAGTCAAATCTTTCCCGCGCGCCGTCAGCTCGGCGAATTGTTTTTTGAAGAAGCAGCAAGCAGCGGCAAATGATCTTCCCGGTTAGCATGAATGAACAACGGAAATAGAATCTTGGCAACCCATGCGCGGTTTTTCGTGCCCGTGCGTCTGTTCAACGTAGAAAAAAGCCTAAAAAACCATTGAAACTTGTAATTACTCGACATTAATACGGCCAGAAAATACGCTCTTTTTCCTCTTTGCAGGAAAATTTACACGTTATCTCGTATAGTTTATACGCGTTTCGCCATTTATAAAAAATTTTCCAATTTTTTCTGGCTCCTGAAACATTGCTCCACTGTTAGATTTTCCATTGCAAGAGTACTATATTTTATCCCAAATTCCTAAAATTTGATTTTAAAGTTAATATGGTAGTAACCCTTAAATATTAATATTAACCCTTTCCTCTTTGAATTTCTGTTATTCGACGCTGTAAAAAATTATGGAAAGTTATTAATTCACGTATATCGATAAAATATAATATCTCTGTTTCGCATGAAAAAGGAAATCGTAAAATCGTAAAAAATTCTAGTTTTAATTGTAGTATCGACGAAATGAGATATCGAAATAATTATCCAGCCCAGAGGATTAAATGTTTTTTTAAACTTATTTTCATTACTACGATCGAAGTCTGTGTTATTTTAGACGAGAATATTTTACTAAATGAAACGAGCCATATTCTAATCATTAAAAGCAGACAACGTTCCTTTCTTTTCTCTCTGATGTCGAATAATAAAAAGGACGTAATTATTTTAATTTTTCGGCCTAATGATGCAAACCTTCTTCGGTAGAATACAATTTTGTATTATGCAGGAATTGTATAATTTATAATTGAACAACATTCAGTATCTTAAGCTTTGTATACGATCTGCCAAGAGTCTTCTTTTATAACAATTTGTAGAAATTCTTGTTACGCTGTTGTAGAAAGTTCTTATCGCGAGAATGCAATTTTTAATCCGGTAAGAAATGTTGCTATTGATTAAACGATTTAATCTCAACACCGGTTCAACGCTCACAGAGAGAGAAGATGGTTTTCCTACGTAAATTTGCATAAAATCATCGTTCCTTTCAAGACTTTCACTTCTCTTTGTATTTTATGACGAGCAAAGGCTGTAAAAATATTTTTATTGAAACGCTATTGCGGTCAACTGAGCGATACTCCGTTATAATTGCGCAATCCTTAAGAAGGAAAAGCCAGTTTCTTTTGCTCAGAAACATTATGGTCGCTGTTTCTTTCAATCTCTGATGCTTTTACATTTCACCATAAACACCAATCGTGATTCGTTCGTTTCTTGGCGTTATTATACAACGTGTTTCTTGTTATCGAAATAATTTGCAATCACAAAAGTTTCGTTACACGAATATTATAGAATATTAATAGTATCTGGTATGATCGCTGTTTTAAACATATATAGGGATAAGAGAGGTTTCTCTTTTTATTAAAATCTTTTCTCCTGGCTGTGATAGGCGTATTCTAAATCTGTCGAATAAAATTCGTACAAAATCGACGTTCTCGGAGGAACCATATGGCCCGACTCAAAGTTTCAATCGAATTTTAACGAAGTTCGAACAGTTCTTCGCGAACAGAATGTCAGAAACTATAGTACGGCGTTTACATTTTTTCTATCCAGAATTCGACACCGGAAACGTCTGTGCTAGTGGTTCATTTACAAATATAGATGAACAATTAGATGGTCATGACAGAAGTTTATAGATATATGTATATAAGCACGTTTCAAACGCTATTTGTTTCTAGTCTCTGTTCTTGAATGGCTGCCTAAATTAGTCTGGCTGCTGAACTAATATTTATTTACAAGGAGGAACAGTTAGGCAATCAAGACGGAAGTTTCGGCATATAAACACATTATAATCGCTACATGTTTCAAGTTTCAATCCGTGATGCTTGCACGTCTGCCTAAATCAACCCACCTATCGAAGTAAGTTCCATTTACAAACAGAGGGTAGCAAGTAAGCAACCATAACAGAATGTAATAAAATTTGTTACTTGTTGTGTTAAAATAGATATTGAAAATGTTAGTCGATGCAGGGTAATTTACGTTA